TAGGTGTGTAAACTGACATAACCAAACTCTAAAACCTGTTGTAAATAAGTGATCTTTATTTTACTAAAAAGTTGCAGCTTAACCTGTTAAAAATGAAATGTAACGTGGTTATATTTTTCAAGGTGGCTTCTAATAAAATCTTGTGTCAGTGTTAACTTAATTTGGTGAGAAAATGTTTGTACTCTTGTTAGTATTAAAATTAAGCCCATGAAATGAGAGATAAGCACAAGTATACCTCTTATTAACTCTTACTGAATTTTAGCTAATTAAGAAATTAATTCCTGTATGTTAAACTTAGAATTGGATTCCATTCTATTGAATGCAGTACAGATTATAAATATACACATTGTTAGGATATTTACTCTAATTATCATGATTATATTGTGTCTAGGGTTATCCTATTTATCATGATTATATTGTGTCTAGGATTACCTAATTATCATGATTATATTGTGTCTAGGGTTACCCTATTTATCATGATTATATTGTGTCTAGGGTTATCCATGTTAGGAGTTTGAGAGTGTATGAGAGAAGAAAGAAATATTAATAGCCTAACTGCCTTGGCAGTTAGGAAAAACAAAAATTGACTTGGTATAAATAGCTTTTGAATAACGGTTGGAGGGGTCTTTGATTGATTGTAGTTTCTAACAGGAATTGTTATCCTGTAAGGGGGAGGTTAGGATCTCAGTGTTCTTTGTACATTTCATTCTGGTTACTCTTAATACAAGAAGAGGCATTTCAGTAGTTGGTGTGTGTTTTTGGTACGTTTATTGTTGATTGAGAAGGTTTCTTGAGTAGAAACCTATCAATTTGGTCCGACCTGCCGGATCCAAATTGGGTGCGAAGCGAAGAATGGAGGGAAGCACAGAGGGTCGATTGGAGGCTCTGGAGATTACGATGGAAGTGATGAAGGCAGAATCTGCCGCAGTGCGCTGGGACTTGCAATAACTAATGAGGATGATGGGGGCGCGGGCTCACAACAACGAAGGACCATCAGGGGGAAGTCAGGCTTTTGTAAACGGGAACCAACGATAGGCTTCCGTAAACGGGAACCAGCGACGGTGCGAGGAAGATATTGAAGGGAGAGTGGGTGGCGATCATGGTGGGACCTGAACCCACGATCACAGTGGCGATCACCAGGAGGTATAGAGTAATTGGAGGAAAAGGGTGGACTTACCCACGTTCGAAGGGCTGGAACCACTCAATTGGATCAATTGGGCGGAACGGTTTTTTGATATTCAGAAAGTGGTGGAGGAAGAGAAGGTGGAACTCGCGTACATAAGCATGGAGGGCAGCGTTGGGTATTGGTTCAAGTTTTGGAAAGAAAAGGCCAAGAATTGTTCTTGGGAGGGCCTTAAAGCAGCCATGATTAGCCGGTTTGGAGGTGGATTTCGTGGGCCGGTGTTTGAACGACTGGCGACGCTGCGATAGGAGGACACCGTGGAAGATTATGTCCGACAGTTTGAAATATTGGTGGGGCAAGCCCGTGGCGTATCGGAGGAGCAGGTGCTGGGATATTTCCTCGCCGGATTGCATGAGGACATTAAGGGGCAGGTTCGATCCACGATCTGCAAGAGCTGACAATGGCAATGAGCATCGCGAGAGACGTGGAGGACGCCATGCGTGGAGCGAGAGGGAGAAGTTGGAATGCGACCAAGAATTCGCAATCTTTGGGACGAGCGATCGGGGCAGTGACAAGAAACAAAATCAGTCGCCTTAATCCGAGTCGACCGAGCGGGGCAGAAAGCGTAGGATCAGTGAGAAGAGAAGGAGTCACAACGAACGGTAACACTAGACTGACCGGTAACACTAGATCGAACGGTAGAGCGACAATAGAAGCCGAACAGTAAGGAACCTGCCCTATCCTGAGTTCCTGAAGAGAAGAGAATAGGGGCGATGTTTTTGGTGTGGGGGACCATTCGCACCCGGTCATCATTGTCCAGAAAGGAGCCTGCAAGTGGTACTATTAGCAGAGGATGAAGAGGGCAATGAAGAGGGAATGACTGAGCGGGATAAAGGAATGACCAAACGGGATGAGGGAATGACCAACGGGAGGAGAAAGTAACCGAACGGGAACATAGGCAAATGGAATTGTCGGCCTTTTCGGCCAAAGGCTTAACCCAGCCAAAGACCATGAAGTTGCAGGGAAAGATTGGGGAGAGAAAGGTGTTGGTGCTGATAGATAGTGGTGCCAACCATAATTTTATTAATAAGGGTTTGGTAGCCGATCTGGGTTTGCAAGTTAAGGAGACATCCCCTTATCAGGTGAGTCTGGGGGATGGTCAGAGGAAGACGACCCGTGGATATTGTGAGAAGGTTCTAATCACCTTAGAAGAAGCCGTAGTAGAGGAGAGATTTCTTTTGTTCAAATTGGGAGGAGTGGACGTCATTCTAGGAGTGGAGTGGTTAGCAAAACTGGGCGAAGTGATGCTGAATTGGGGAGAAATGACAATGGTCAATAGTCAGGAAGGGAAGAAGGTGAGGATCAGAGAGGATCCTACCTTGGCTAGGCTGGTGATTGAACCTAAAGCTTTATTGAAGTTGACAGAGGTGGAAATTTTGACCCTGGTGTGGGATTTGAGTCAGGCCGACAAGGTAGAAGATAAGAAAGGGCATAGAGAGTTGTCAGAGGAGAAAAAAAGGGAGTTGGAAGAGATTTTGAAGTTACACTCGGGGGTTTTTCAGGAGGTGAATGGGTTGCCTCCCGAACGGGGAATGGTACAGTTTGTGTTGGTTTAATAGCCTAACTGCCTTGGTAGTTAGGAAAAGCGGGAATTGACTTGGTATAAATAGCTTTTGAATAACTGTTGGAGGGGTCTTTGGTTGATTGTAGTTTCTAACAGGAATTGTTATCCTGTAAGGGGGAGGTTAGGCTCTCAGTGTTCTCTATACATTTCATTCTAGCTACTGTTAATACAAGAAGAGGCATTTCAGTAGTTGGTGTGTGTTTTTGGTACGTTTATTGTTGATTGAGAAGGTTATAGCGATTCGCCTTGGACCACTCGGCAACTCTCGATCGGCCTGGGTTATAGCGATTGGCCGCGGACTGCTCGACGACTCCCGATCAGCCTGGGTTATAGCAATTCGCCTCAGACCGCTCGACAACTCTCGATTGGCCTGGGTTTTAGCGATTGGCCTCGGACCGTGTCACCTCACCGCTCGTTCGTCTCCAAGTCGACTGGTCTTCTAACCCGCTCTCGTTCCCCACCTTTGCGCCTCCCTAGAACTCCTCAACATCCCTTGCGATCCCATCGCCACCATCAATTCCTGCGGGTCATGCGGTCTGATTCTGGATGTCCTCTTGCAATCCCGCAAGAAAATATCTTAATAGCTGCTCGTCTGACACCCGCTTCGTTCGACCCGCCAATATCTTGAAGTCTTGTACATACTCGTCCACCGTCCCTGTCTGTTTCAATGCCGCCAAACGATCAACAATGATTCCAAACCTTATCACCAGAGGGTTGAAGGAGTAAGGGGTATTTAAACTTTCCTTGACCTCGACTCATAAGCAATGTGTGACTATTGGGTATACTAAAACATAAGCCCCCAATTGAGGTCTAAGGGGAAGGGGGGTTCATCTCCCAATGGATGACTAAGGGAAATCATTTTCGTTCCCTACAGACGCCGCCAATGTTTCGACAACAAGTCTGATGAGATACACTGCATTCGGGGCATTGTTTGCTTTGAAGTCTGGAGTTTTGTAATGGTTTTTTCTTTAAAAGGAATCACGGAAGGTTGAAGGAGGAAGAAGTATTTGAACTTCCCTTGGTCCTGACTCCTAACAATGTGAGACTAGTGGGTGTACATATTGCTTATGTGTCTATCTCAGTTCAAATTGTCTGTTTTCTTACAAATCCTCTACCTAAGTCTGATTATTTTCATTAGGGGCAAAGTAAAGGTTTTGAAATCCTCTCAAATCTGAGTTTGTCGATGGAGTAATAGAATAATAGAGAAGAGTAAAAATCTTGTCTGTAAACTGGGTGGTCTTTGCCACATCAACTAGTTAGTTAGCTATTATTATATTTTCTGTTAGCATAGTTTGTTAGACAACTGGTTTTCTGTTTGTAACCTGAGTGGCCTTTGTCACTACAGCATGTTTGTTAGCCATTCTGTTAAATTTTTTGCTAGCACAGTTTGTTAGACAAGTGGTTTTCTATTAGCTGATTAGTATTGGTCTTCTATTAGTCGGTTGTTAGGTTATCTTTCATTGCAAGCTTCATTGATTTATGTATCATGATTTTGTTAGGTTGAGAATGACAAGAAATAAACACACAAGTTATAGTTTTCATAAAATTTCTAACTCAACTTTTTTGATATAGAGTTCTTTTAGTTTGTGGGTGTGCCCAAGTGTGTTTTACTAAGGGTTTAATTACATTAACATTTTACAGGTTGGGGGCACTGGCAGTGAACGTTTTGAACTTTCACAACAGTTCTTGCAGAGCGTTTTGAAGTCACCATTTCCATTTAATACTGGAAAGCAGGCTGTTAAATTTTCTGCATGGCTGGAGGAAAGAGGCAAAGACCTCACAGAAGTGGGTGCCAATATTTCTGGAGATTTACAATGTGGAGACATTTTTCATTTGTTTGCTTTAGTTTCATCAGGTGACATTTCAATTTTGCCATGCCTACCAGACAACGGTATTGGAGAGGCTGAAGATTTGAGAAATGCAAAGCGTAAATATGATGTTACTGAATCTTCATATGGTGATAAAGTTAAGAAACCAAAATCCTTTTTCGGAGTAGAAGGTGAAATTATTTCTCGTCGGGAAAAGGGTTTTCCTGGTATTGCCGTTTCTGCATACCGAACAACAATATCAAAAGTTGATATTTTAAATTTGTTCAAGGATAATGATAACAATGGCCAACCTTTTGGGGGTGATTTACAATTAAGCATTAGCCAAACTGGTGACTATTCTGTTTCTGACCATATATTTGAAATCGGTAAATCTTGTGAACCTATGCCACTATAAGAAAATCATACTGAATCACCCTGGGAAGCTATGGCTGGTTATGCGCGACTATTGTTGTCAGAGTATTCCAATCCAGAACATGCATATGGCATTTGTGCTGAGGTCTTTAGGGTTGTTTATGCTTCCATCCAAAAGGCTGGTGACCAAGGATTAAGCATGGGAGAAATTTCCAAGGTTATAAACCTTCCAGGTATAGATGCGGTGCTTTAATGATGTATAACATTGACTAATGTATGCAGTTTTTCATTTATTTAAACTTGAGATTGTTTATTTTTCTTCCGGTGTGGTTCAGGAGCTGAGGTACATGGCTCGATTGTTGATGCTCTTCAAGCTTTTGGGCTAACATTAAAGGTTTCTCCCTCTTTTCTTTTTTCTATAATTTATAGAGTGTCTGATTTCAACCCATGGTTTGACCCAATGGAAAGCATCTATTTCCCCCTTCTTCTACTCAAACAATGGTTTGAGACCCAAAATCATATGTTCAAACACAACCAGTTTACCAAACCATTATTTTAAGTAACTTGTGATTTGTAGATCAAAGTCAATTTAAACACCGGAACTAGGATTTGGGTGTATGATCTATGTCCAGTCAATTTAAACACCTGCATTTATGAACTTTAGCAAACCATTAAGGATTTTTTTCCTCTAGCTTTCTCAGGAAAACAATGTCTTCCAACACCACATCAACCTCCAAAATAGATTCCCCCCCTTTTCCAAACTATATTGTTAGTATTGAGAAGAAGGACGGCTAACTATTCCACTTCCACTACTAAGTCATTTGTTGCTCTTGTATACCCGACTGATCCATCTCCAACAACATTTTAAGACTTTATCAAATGGTATGTGACACACCAATTAAGTAGTAACGTTACTTTAGTGACACTGGTAATTCTTCTGCTCGTCTCTCTGAATCACCTTCTCTTGATCCCTGAGTTATTGGCTCTTGCGCAATTGATCACATATCTATAATCGTTCTTTTGTTTCTTCTTTTACTAATGTTGTCAATTTTCTTTTTATAACTGTGGTCAATGGTTTAAAAAAACAAGCTTGGAACATTGGTACTACCCAACCCCTCTCATCCCTTACTTTTATTGACTTTGTTCTTTATGGCCTTAATCGCCCTTTTAGTCACAAACAGACATCATTGAAACTACATATACACTTCCTCTTCAGTTACGTACTTGAGTACGAAACCTAACCAGAACAACCTCTCACACACTCACAACACGAAACAAAAAAATGAATGAATGATAATAAACGAATGAATTTCTTTTATTGATGGTAATATCTGAATAAACAAAAGTAAACAAGGGTAATTGGGAGCATAACCTCCTTCAATTACTTGGAAGCATTACCTCCCTCATAGGAGCATAGTCGCTTGTCACAAGACTCAATAATCAAAAGCATGCCCTAAACAATAGCATCTAGCTTTATTTATATTAAATATTTCCCTAGAATATAATTCTATTTACTATAATTAACTTATACTGAATATTTTCCTAGGATATAATTCTATTTACTATAATTAACTTATACTGAATATTTTCCTAGGATATAGCTCTATTTACTATAATTAAATTATACTGAATATTTCCTTAGGATGTGGCCTTATTTACTATAATTATTTCCCGCCCATCCTAAATGTTGTCCCAGTTAGAATAGTCACTCTTCAACCGATCGGCTCTAACTCTTCACCGCCTTCCGTTCGGTTTGCTTCCCCCTGTCTCCTACCGTTTGGCTCCAACTCTTCACCACCTTCCACCGTTCGGCTTGCTTCCCCCTGCCTCCTACCGTTCGGCTCCAGCTCTTCACCGCCATCTATCGTTCGGCTTGCTTCCGTTTGCCTCCTACCATTAGGCTCTCCTGCCTTCTATCCTATCACCCAGTATCCTATCATCTTCAGTCATTTTCCTTACCATTTTTGGGGAGATGTTGTCCTTGCAATATCTTATCTCATTAACCGGATGCCAACATTTGTCCTTATAGATTGGATACCCCACTCTATCCTTTTTCCTCATTCCCCTCTATACATTCTTCTTCCGCATGCTTTATACATAACCTCACACCTAGTTGAGATAAACTTTCTTCTTAGTCATTTGAGTGTGTCCTTGTGAGATATCATCACTCTCAAATTCGGTATCAATGTTTCTCTCCTGATCTTCATAGGTATTTTGTGTCTGTAGACCTCTCTTTTCAAGTCAGTCCCATATTATACAATTTTTCATTCAAATGACGACATAGTGGTAACCTTCCCACCATCGTCAATATTCCTTCATCAATACCTCTTGACTGCCAAAGTCTGGGATGTTTCTCCTACACCACTTCAGGTAATTCAACGTTTTTCACAACCTATTGATATTCCAGTACAAAATCCATCTTTGACAGATAATGATATAATGGAGGCAATGCTTGATCCTTCTCTGAAGTCATCTCCCATACCGAATCTGGTCGTTGTATGCTCTTAAAATTCGGCTTCATGGTCACAACAGGCAGGCTTATCTTTGAAGTAGATGGAAGCTCATGAATCTCCTCTGGACTGGTTTGGAAAGCATGACCACCTTTGGAAACCATCATCACTGTTGTGGAAGACCATGACTAAACATTCCTTATCACCTCTTTCGAGGTTCTAGATGCATTTGCATTGCCATCTTCAACATGGTTGAAAGTGTCAGAGTCATAGCTCTGATACCATATATGAATAGAGAAAATACTTTTTATTCTTCTCAATATTCAGAGTCCTAGTACATAAGGATACTTATGCAGAGTTAAAATACTGATTCTGCTACGAGTATGGAAATAAGCAGAAAAACGAATCTCCTATAATAGAAATAAATGAACCTAATTCTGAATGCATATGAACTTGATTAATTCAGATTTATTGCTCTAAAACTGATAAAATCAATGTAGATGTATTCTTCTACCAGATTCCCCGCCCTCATGCTCATGTGCACATATATATACATACATACACATGTATTTACACAGACACACATTTATATTGCTGATGTGGTTTACAATAGCTGTTTTCCCTCTGAAGAAATTGAAAGATTTTTGCAGAAATTCATAACAACTTATTCTCAAGCTGGATTAAAATGCTTCATTTTTATTTTTCTTATTTGTTTCTTTCCCACCACTTTCTATAACAAGATTCTCTTTACTGCATAGGTCAATGCTTATGATACTATCCGTGTCGTTGATGTCGTGTACCGTCACAAGTACTTTTTGATATCTGGGTCTGCTTTTCATCATCTTGTACAACCTTCCTCAACAAAAGCTATTGAGGAAAGTGATCATACATCTGAGATTTACAAATCAGATAAAAGGGATACTTCATCTATTCATACTCCAAGCGAAAGGACTACTATTGATAATGCGCATAGAGTGACAATACTCAATCTTCCACGTGAGGATGTGGATCCTGAAAATCAAGCCAGTGACAGGAATGAAAGCTGCAAGCAAGACAGACTAGGCTTATCCAGAGTCGATCACGAGAAAGAAACTCTCAAATTTTCTTCGTGTGAGTCATGTGTGCCAATATTGCCATGGATCAATGGAGATGGAACCATCAACAACGTTGTTTATAGAGGACTTCGACGTCGTGTTCTTGGGATAGTGATGCAAAACCCAGGGATGTTGGAGGTACGCAAACTTTACAATGTCTTTTTTATTTAATGTATTTAAAATTTCATAAAACTTTGAAATGTGATCAGCTCTGCTGTGAGTGCTCTTGCCTCTAATTATTAAGAGGGGCGTAAAGGAATAATGAAAAATGATTTGTTTTTATCTTATCCTTGTTTTGCAACCTGAGTTTATATCCTTTAGAAACGAATTAGGTTAACTTATTCAGCAAATATTGGACTTTATTTTATTGGCATGGAACAATAGCAACTTCTTAGGTCTCAACACTTTTCCCTGGATACTTTCTTTCTACTATTAACTCAATTTGTATGGATTGAGACTTATTCCATTTCTTTAGTTGCAATAATTCACCAAACCATTATTTTAAAGTACTTGTGATTTGTAGATTCATTCAATTTAAACAAATAAACACCGGACACTAGATTCGGGTGTATTATCTATGTTCCGGCCAGGTCATTTAAACACCTGCATTTATGAACTTTAGCAAACCATTAAGGATTTTTTTCCTCTAGCTTTCTCAGGAAAACAATGTCTTCCAACACCACATCAACCTCCAAAATAGATTCCCCCCCTTTTCCAAACTATATTGTTAGTATTGAGAAGAAGGACGGCTAACTATTCCACTTCCACTACTAAGTCATTTGTTGCTCTTGTATACCCGACTGATCCATCTCCAACAACATTTTAAGACTTTATCAAATGGTATGTGACACACCAATTAAGTAGTAACGTTACTTTAGTGACACTGGTAATTCTTCTGCTCGTCTCTCTGAATCACCTTCTCTTGATCCCTGAGTTATTGGCTCTTGCGCAATTGATCACATATCTATAATCGTTCTTTTGTTTCTTCTTTTTAACTATATGTTTCAATTGTTTTCATTTTCTTTTTTATTTTCTTTCCTTTTATAAATAACTGTGGTCACTGGTTTAAAAACAAGCTTGGAACATTGGTACTACCCACCCCTCTCATCCCTTACTTTTTATTAAACTTTGTTTGTTCTTTATGGCCTTAATCGCCCTTTTAGTCACAAACAGACATCATTGAAACTACATATACACTTCCTCTTCAGTTACGTACTTGAGTACGAAACCTAACCAGATTAACCTCTCACACACTCACAACACGAAACAAAAAAATGAACGAATGATAATAAACGAATGAATTTCTTTTATTGATGGTAATATCTGAATAAACAAAAGTAAACAAGGGTAATTGGAAGCATAACCTCCTTCAATTACTTGGAAGCATAACCTCCCTCATAGGAGCATAGTCGCTTGTCACAAGACTCAATAATCAAAAGCATGCCCTAAACAATAGCATCTAACTTTATTTATATTAAATATTTCCCTAGAATATAATTCTATTTACTATAATTAAGTTATACTGAGAAGGTTATAGCGATTCGCCTTGGACCACTCGGCAACTCTCGATCGGCCTGGGTTATAGCGATTGGCCGCGGACTGCTCGACGACTCCCGATCAGCCTGGGTTATAGCAATTCGCCTCAGACCGCTCGACAACTCTCGATTGGCCTGGGTTTTAGCGATTGGCCTCGGACCGTGTCACCTCACCGCTCGTTCGTCTCCAAGTCGACTGGTCTTCTAACCCGCTCTCGTTCCCCACCTTTGCGCCTCCCTAGAACTCCTCAACATCCCTTGCGATCCCATCGCCACCATCAATTCCTGCGGGTCATGCGGTCTGATTCTGGATGTCCTCTTGCAATCCCGCAAGAAAATATCTTAATAGCTGCTCGTCTGACACCCGCTTCGTTCGACCCGCCAATATCTTGAAGTCTTGTACATACTCGTCCACCGTCCCTGTCTGTTTCAATGCCGCCAAACGATCAACAATGATTCCAAACCTTATCACCAGAGGGTTGAAGGAGTAAGGGGTATTTAAACTTTCCTTGACCTCGACTCATAAGCAATGTGAGACTATTGGGTATACTAAAACATAAGCCCCCAATTGAGGTCTAAGGGGAAGGGGGGTTCATCTCCCAATGGATGACTAAGGGAAATCATTTTCGTTCCCTACAGACGCCGCCAATGTTTCGACAACAAGTCTGATGAGATACACTGCATTCGGGGCATTGTTTGCTTTGAAGTCTGGAGTTTTGTAATGGTTTTTTCTTTAAAAGGAATCACGGAAGGTTGAAGGAGGAAGAAGTATTTGAACTTCCCTTGGTCCTGACTCCTAACAATGTGAGACTAGTGGGTGTACATATTGCTTATGTGTCTATCTCAGTTCAAATTGTCTGTTTTCTTACAAATCCTCTACCTAAGTCTGATTATTTTCATTAGGGGCAAAGTAAAGGTTTTGAAATCCTCTCAAATCTGAGTTTGTCGATGGAGTAATAGAATAATAGAGAAGAGTAAAAATCTTGTCTGTAAACTGGGTGGTCTTTGCCACATCAACTAGTTAGTTAGCTATTATTATATTTTCTGTTAGCATAGTTTGTTAGACAACTGGTTTTCTGTTTGTAACCTGAGTGGCCTTTGTCACTACAGCATGTTTGTTAGCCATTCTGTTAAATTTTTTGCTAGCACAGTTTGTTAGACAAGTGGTTTTCTATTAGCTGATTAGTATTGGTCTTCTATTAGTCGGTTGTTAGGTTATCTTTCATTGCAAGCTTCATTGATTTATGTATCATGATTTTGTTAGGTTGAGAATGACAAGAAATAAACACACAAGTTATAGTTTTCATAAAATTTCTAACTCAACTTTTTTGATATAGAGTTCTTTTAGTTTGTGGGTGTGCCCAAGTGTGTTTTACTAAGGGTTTAATTACATTAACATTTGACAGGTTGGGGGCACTGGCAGTGAACGTTTTGAACTTTCACAACAGTTCTTGCAGAGCGTTTTGAAGTCACCATTTCCATTTAATACTGGAAAGCAGGCTGTTAAATTTTCTGCATGGCTGGAGGAAAGAGGCAAAGACCTCACAGAAGTGGGTGCCAATATTTCTGGAGATTTACAATGTGGAGACATTTTTCATTTGTTTGCTTTAGTTTCATCAGGTGACATTTCAATTTTGCCATGCCTACCAGACAACGGTATTGGAGAGGCTGAAGATTTGAGAAATGCAAAGCGTAAATATGATGTTACTGAATCTTCATATGGTGATAAAGTTAAGAAACCAAAATCCTTTTTCGGAGTAGAAGGTGAAATTATTTCTCGTCGGGAAAAGGGTTTTCCTGGTATTGCCGTTTCTGCATACCGAACAACAATATCAAAAGTTGATATTTTAAATTTGTTCAAGGATAATGATAACAATGGCCAACCTTTTGGGGGTGATTTACAATTAAGCATTAGCCAAACTGGTGACTATTCTGTTTCTGACCATATATTTGAAATCGGTAAATCTTGTGAACCTATGCCACTAAAAGAAAATCATACTGAATCACCCTGGGAAGCTATGGCTGGTTATGCGCGACTATTGTTGTCAGAGTATTCCAATCCAGAACATGCATATGGCATTTGTGCTGAGGTCTTTAGGGTTGTTTATGCTGCCATCCAAAAGGCTGGTGACCAAGGATTAAGCATGGGAGAAATTTCCAAGGTTATAAACCTTCCAGGTATAGATGCGGTGCTTTAATGATGTATAACATTGACTAATGTATGCAGTTTTTCATTTATTTAAACTTGAGATTGTTTATTTTTCTTCCGGTGTGGTTCAGGAGCTGAGGTACATGGCTCGATTGTTGATGCTCTTCAAGCTTTTGGGCTAACATTAAAGGTTTCTCCCTCTTTTCTTTTTTCTATAATTTATAGAGTGTCTGATTTCAACCCATGGTTTGACCCAATGGAAAGCATCTATTTCCCCCTTCTTCTACTCAAACAATGGTTTGAGACCCAAAATCATATGTTCAAACACAACCAGTTTACCAAACCATTATTTTAAGTAACTTGTGATTTGTAGATCAAAGTCAATTTAAACACCGGAACTAGGATTTGGGTGTATGATCTATGTCCAGTCAATTTAAACACCTGCATTTATGAACTTTAGCAAACCATTAAGGATTTTTTTCCTCTAGCTTTCTCAGGAAAACAATGTCTTCCAACACCACATCAACCTCCAAAATAGATTCCCCCCCTTTTCCAAACTATATTGTTAGTATTGAGAAGAAGGACGGCTAACTATTCCACTTCCACTACTAAGTCATTTGTTGCTCTTGTATACCCGACTGATCCATCTCCAACAACATTTTAAGACTTTATCAAATGGTATGTGACACACCAATTAAGTAGTAACGTTACTTTAGTGACACTGGTAATTCTTCTGCTCGTCTCTCTGAATCACCTTCTCTTGATCCCTGAGTTATTGGCTCTTGCGCAATTGATCACATATCTATAATCGTTCTTTTGTTTCTTCTTTTACTAATGTTGTCAATTTTCTTTTTATAACTGTGGTCAATGGTTTAAAAAAACAAGCTTGGAACATTGGTACTACCCAACCCCTCTCATCCCTTACTTTTATTGACTTTGTTCTTTATGGCCTTAATCGCCCTTTTAGTCACAAACAGACATCATTGAAACTACATATACACTTCCTCTTCAGTTACGTACTTGAGTACGAAACCTAACCAGAACAACCTCTCACACACTCACAACACGAAACAAAAAAATGAATGAATGATAATAAACGAATGAATTTCTTTTATTGATGGTAATATCTGAATAAACAAAAGTAAACAAGGGTAATTGGGAGCATAACCTCCTTCAATTACTTGGAAGCATTACCTCCCTCATAGGAGCATAGTCGCTTGTCACAAGACTCAATAATCAAAAGCATGCCCTAAACAATAGCATCTAGCTTTATTTATATTAAATATTTCCCTAGAATATAATTCTATTTACTATAATTAACTTATACTGAATATTTTCCTAGGATATAATTCTATTTACTATAATTAACTTATACTGAATATTTTCCTAGGATATAGCTCTATTTACTATAATTAAATTATACTGAATATTTCCTTAGGATGTGGCCTTATTTACTATAATTATTTCCCGCCCATCCTAAATGTTGTCCCAGTTAGAATAGTCACTCTTCAACCGATCGGCTCTAACTCTTCACCGCCTTCCGTTCGGTTTGCTTCCCCCTGTCTCCTACCGTTTGGCTCCAACTCTTCACCACCTTCCACCGTTCGGCTTGCTTCTCCCTGCCTTCTATTGTTCGGCTCCAGCTCTTCACCGCCTTCTTTTTTTCGGCTTGCTTCCTTTTGCCTCCTACCTTTTGGCTCTCCTGCCTTCTATCCTATCACCCAGTATCCTATCATCTTCAGTCATTTTCCTTTCCATTTTTGGGGAGATGTTGTCCTTTCAATATCTTATCTCATTAACCGGATGCCAACATTTGTCCTTATAGATTGGATACCCCACTCTATCCTTTTTCCTCATTCCCCTCTATACATTCTTCTTCCGCATGCTTTATACATAACCTCACACCTAGTTGAGATAAACTTTCTTCTTAGTCATTTGAGTGTGTCCTTGTGAGATATCATCACTCTCAAATTCGGTATCAATGTTTCTCTCCTGATCTTCATAGGTATTTTGTGTCTGTAGACCTCTCTTTTCAAGTCAGTCCCATATTATACAATTTTTCATTCAAATGACGACATAGTGGTAACCTTCCCACCATCGTCAATATTCCTTCATCAATACCTCTTGACTGCCAAAGTCTGGGATGTTTCTCCTACACCACTTCAGGTAATTCAACGTTTTTCACAACCTATTGATATTCCAGTACAAAATCCATCTTTGACAGATAATGATATAATGGAGGCAATGCTTGATCCTTCTCTGAAGTCATCTCCCATACCGAATCTGGTCGTTGTATGCTCTTAAAATTCGGCTTCATGGTCACAACAGGCAGGCTTATCTTTGAAGTAGATGGAAGCTCATGAATCTCCTCTGGACTGGTTTGGAAAGCATGACCACCTTTGGAAACCATCATCACTGTTGTGGAAGACCATGACTAAACATTCCTTATCACCTCTTTCGAGGTTCTAGATGCATTTGCATTGCCATCTTCAACATGGTTGAAAGTGTCAGAGTCATAGCTCTGATACCATATATGAATAGAGAAAATACTTTTTATTCTTCTCAATATTCAGAGTCCTAGTACATAAGGATACTTATGCAGAGTTAAAATACTGATTCTGCTACGAGTATGGAAATAAGCAGAAAAACGAATCTCCTATAATAGAAATAAATGAACCTAATTCTGAATGCATATGAACTTGATTAATTCAGATTTATTGCTCTAAAACTGATAAAATCAATGTAGATGTATTCTTCTACCAGATTCCCCGCCCTCATGCTCATGTGCACATATATATACATACATACACATGTATTTACACAGACACACATTTATATTGCTGATGTGGTTTACAATAGCTGTTTTCCCTCTGAAGAAATTGAAAGATTTTTGCAGAAATTCATAACAACTTATTCTCAAGCTGGATTAAAATGCTTCATTTTTATTTTTCTTATTTGTTTCTTTCCCACCACTTTCTATAACAAGATTCTCTTTACTGCATAGGTCAATGCTTATGATACTATCCGTGTCGTTGATGTCGTGTACCGTCACAAGTACTTTTTGATATCTGGGTCTGCTTTTCATCATCTTGTACAACCTTCCTCAACAAAAGCTATTGAGGAAAGTGATCATACATCTGAGATTTACAAATCAGATAAAAGGGATACTTCATCTATTCATACTCCAAGCGAAAGGACTACTATTGATAATGCGCATAGAGTGACAATACTCAATCTTCCACGTGAGGATGTGGATCCTGAAAATCAAGCCAGTGACAGGAATGAAAGCTGCAAGCAAGACAGACTAGGCTTATCCAGAGTCGATCACGAGAAAGAAACTCTCAAATTTTCTTCGTGTGAGTCATGTGTGCCAATATTGCCATGGATCAATGGAGATGGAACCATCAACAACGTTGTTTATAGAGGACTTCGACGTCGTGTTCTTGGGATAGTGATGCAAAACCCAGGGATGTTGGAGGTACGCAAACTTTACAATGTCTTTTTTATTTAATGTATTTAAAATTTCATAAAACTTTGAAATGTGATCAGCTCTGCTGTGAGTGCTCTTGCCTCTAATTATTAAGAGGGGCGTAAAGGAATAATGAAAAATGATTTGTTTTTATCTTATCCTTGTTTTGCAACCTGAGTTTATATCCTTTAGAAACGAATTAGGTTAACTTATTCAGCAAATATTGGACTTTATTTTATTGGCATGGAACAATAGCAACTTCTTAGGTCTTAACACTTTTCCCTGGATACTTTCTTTCTACTATTAACTCAATTTGTATGGATTGAGACTTATTCCATTTCTTTAGTTGCAATAATTCGAATAGTGTCATTTTAGCATTTTTATCATATTGATATGGGTTCTGTTTTAGTGAAACTAAAATATACTTTTTCTCTCTATGTTTAAAACTTCAATTCCTTCCTTAACTGGTAGGATTTGGAGGGTTTAGGAAAGGAGGAAAGGACTTAAAAGTAAAGCATAAACGGTTGGGGTCTGTTAGGACAGTTAGGAAGCAGGGGTAGGATGACTGTCTTGGTGGGGTGTTATGTGCAGATTAGGAGGAGTCTTTAAATAGGGAAAGGGGTGTCTAGGGATGTTATGTTGAGTTGATTGTACCTTAGTGACAGGACAGTGGTTTTCCTGTGTGAGGGGAGACAACTCCCTTGACGAATTGTATTCTTTGTATTCTTTTCTTACAAGAATAATAATACAAGACTGTTTCAGTGTTTCTGTGTGTGTTTGGTGCTGCCAAGTGTGTGTTTTCTGATTTCTGGTTTCAAGAAACCTACAAGAATCCTTATTATTTACTTAAGCATGGTAGCTCCATTTAGCAATGTTGATCCTCTAACTTTAGATACATGTACTACGTGTTGAAATTGAACATTTAAAATCTCTCATGAAGTGTATATGTAAGTCACCATCTAGTACTTACTCTTTAGCCATATTGATAAAAACATCAATTCCTCTTTTAATGTTTCTAAAACTTTTTGTAAGGACTCTTGGATTCTCGACTCTGGTGCCATAGACCATATGACCCCTCATTCATCTCTTTTAACATCACTTGTTTCTCTTTTCAGTAACCACTTTATTGTTGCCAATGAGACTCGTATTCCAACAACTGGATGTAATAATGTTTCTCTTTTGCCATTTCTCAACCTTCAAAATGTTCTTTATGTTCGAAACCTTTCTAATAATCCTATTTCCGTTCAAAAATTTACCCATGACCTGAGTGCTTTGTAACGTTCTTTCCCACTCATTGTGTTTTCCAAGATCTTGTCACAGGGAAGACAATTGGAACTGTTAAGGAATAGGGAGGGTTGTATTATTTTAACAACTTAGAAACTAAAGATAGTATTACTACACAATGAGGTACTTGTAGTCTACAATCTTGCACTGCCTTCGAGTACTCTCAGTATTTGGCTTCCCCGCTGTCGTCTAGAACATTCGTCCTTTTGTGTTCTGAAGTCCATGTTCCTTTCCTTATTTTCAAAAGAGTTTGTTGAGTCATTTAAATGTGATGTATGTCAACTTGCAAAACACCAATCGCGTCACATATCCTCCTAGTAATACAAAGAGTGTACATCCTTTTGATTTAGTTCATTCTGAATGTTTGGGGGCCTGCATCAAACTATAGTGTATCTAGTGTTAAATTGTTTGTCACATTTATTGATATATGCTGCTAATTGTTTTCTTTATTATTCCTCTAAATCATGTACCATTACCTGCAAAATGGAAAATGAGAAGAAAAACAGTAATGTAATAATAACAGAGGAAACCACCAGTTTGAAACAATCGTTACATAAATATTATAATGAAAAATATGAAAAAAGATTGATGGCAGTACATGTATTAAAAATAAGTGATTACATAATAACTTGAGATGCAATGGAAATCAAGTTTTACAATTTTTAATTCTTCATTAGTAAAGGGAAAAATATACTGACAATGTCATTTGTATGTATTAGGATGATATTCTACGTCACATGCACGTGTTGAATCCACAGGTACTCTACTAAACTTTCAAAATTCTGCGCTTTTATTCTGAAATTGCTAGTTAGCAGTCTAGTTACAGTCTTATTTTCATTTTCTCCTTAAAAGAATAATTTTAAGATAAGTTGGAGTCAATAATCCTTTTCCCAAGGTATTATTGAATTATGCCTCCACTCCTCTAGATTAAAATTGTACTATAAACTTCAGTGGCATACAAAATCTATTTCTACATGGCACCCAGTGTATGCGCATGCGTATTTTGCAATCACAGTTTTTATCCTTCCATCCTACCTGAAAAGAAGCTAACGAGGGATGATCTAGGTATACTATAAAACTAGAGAAGTTTCTTGATGTATAGCTCAAATTTATTACTGTTAAAGATATATGATTTGAAAGGATAAAATATATTGAAGATTGATGGCTACTTTGACTTAGAGAAATTCATTTCTAGAAAATATCTATTAGCTTTGCTATTATTAGCTTTGACATGTTTACTAAGTCTCCCAATAGGTCTTATGTTGATGATATTTATAACAAGCTTGTGTTATTTTTTAGCTTAAGGTGGAATGTTAGAGAAAAAAGCTGATTATGTTATGATCAGATAAGGAAATATTTTACCAAATATTTTTCACTATTAGATATTGATTTTGTTCATTATTATTGTATCGCTTCTTCATTATATTTCTTTAGGTTTCTCTATTCTCAATATGGTGTACTAGACCAGGACAATCCTCTATGAGCTGTTTTGGCACTAATCTGATTTGACACTAATCCTTTCAACAGCATATCAGAGTCTAACCTAATAAGATTAACCTAGTAAGGTTTGTTGGAATCATCATGTCACCTACCATTTACAAATACCAAATCTCATGTTTGAAATGTCTAGCCCTTAGAATAGAGGAGTATTTTGAAGATCTTACATTGACTAGAAATATAGTCAAACTATATAGGATGCACATGTACCATGTCGAAGAGAGAGAAATCAAGGAATATAATGGGTTGTGTCCATTGGAGACAAATGAATATTCTTATTTATAATGAAGAAGAGGCACGTAGTGAACAAAGCCAATATCTAATATCAAAAATAGTTGGTATGATGTTTTCCTATTTTTTATCTCCTTATATATTGTAATCAATTGGTTTAATACCTATTTGTGTCCCTAAGTTTGGTAGGTTTGTTCAAAGTGGTCCTACCTTTTTTCAGATGTTCACAATTGTCCCATATTTTGTAAAAACGGTTCAAGTTAATCCTTTTTACTTACAACGTTAAAAACGCTAATGGCAGAAATACGTGGCAACTGTGAGCAAAACGGACCAATTTGAACCATTTTTACAAAATGAGACAACTGTGAACTTCTGAAAAAAAGTAGGACTACTTTGTACAAACCTAGGGACCAAAATAGGTATTAAACCTAATTAATTTGTACAACAATTACAATGTCATTTATCAAATAGAGCTATATAAATATAATAAGAAAGATCATAAACATAATATAAGGTTTTATACTATTTTTTCTTTTTTTTGACTAAATTACACTAACACCCCTTGTGGTTTTCTTCAATTACATTGGAACTTCAGTTTTTTCTCTTTTTTTTTTTTGTAAATTTCGAACTTCAGTTTTTTTTTTGTTTACTGTAAATTCTACATAAACCTTCCTTTAGTTTTTAAAAGTTACATTGTCGTCCATTTTCACATTATACATTACCACCTTAAATTTTAAAAGTATTACCATTGCATTCAAGGTAGACCTTGATAAAGGAGTTTATTGGGAATCCAAGTGTGAGTCTAAGTCCTATATTGGATATAAATGAGAAAGTAGAGCACTATATAAAGATGAAAAACCCATTAACTCATTACCTTAAGGTTTTGGGTAGAGAGTGGTGTCAATCCCTTGTATAGTTTAGCTCAAATCTCATTGGTGTTTGTGTCTCCCTGGTGAACCTCTTCCTTGATAGACCCAATAGTGGTATTAGAGCCGATGGTTAATCTTGATGACCGGCTCAGACGAGTATAATGGTCCCTATACCGAAAGTATTCCCGACAAAGGATATTCAGGTAAGCAAGTCCCGTTAAGATGAATGGCGGTACGAAGGGCTACTCGTGGTTGTGGTTGGTTGGGAATGTTTCTGCTGGAGGGGAGTGTACCTATGTGGAAGGGACTCACCCTTGAGGGAAAGATTGTTGGGAATCCAAGTGTGAGTCTAAGTCCCGCATTGGATAGAAATAAGAAAGTAGAGCACTATATAAAGATGAAAGACCTATTAACTCATTGTATTAAGGTTTTGGGTAGAATGTGGTGTCAATCCGTTATGTGGTTGGACTCAGATTTCATTGGTATTGTGTCTTTCCGATGCATCTCCTTCTCTATAGATCCAACAAAGTTATGTGTTATGGTGAAAACAATATGTAAGTGTAATGAAAACAAATCTCAGTGTAGTTGTAACTACGCCGAGATCCAACAAAGTTGTGTGTTGTGGTGAAAACAATATGTAAGTGTAATGAAAACAAATCTCAGTGTAGTTGTAACTACGCCCTTTTGTTTTTCATTTTGTAATTTTGAGCTTAAACGTTGATATGATTTTTTATGTTGTCATTGCTTATGCTACCGTGTTTGTATGTTGGTTTTAAGTGTATATGCTAATATGAGTTTCTGACAGAACTGTAGAACTCTCTTGGAAATGATGGTTCTAGATAAACATCTAATTGTGAGGAAGATGCTTCAAAATGTATTTGATGGGGGACCCACTTTACTTCAAGGTCTTATTGGAAGCACATCCAGCCAACCAAAGTTAATTTGCCGAGAGCATTTCTTTGCCAATCCCATGAGTACAGCCTTGTTGTAGGAAATCTGTGGAGTTGACATGGGTACTTTGTTATATAGATACAGAGAGATGGGGTAGGTTGTGTCTGTTAAGAACAAACTTATACGAAATTTTGGATACCAGCCCTTAAATTTGTATTGGTAAGAATTAAGACTTATGCCATCCTAGTAAATATGTTTCAGGCTAGTTCCTTATAAAATTTTTATATTGAGTTTGTTGTTATGTCGACGTATGTCAAGTAACTAAATCTGCAACTCAGTGTAACACTTTTTTTAAAGGAAAAAAAAATCGATGTGATGATTATATGGTTTGCATTCCCTGTTATTGTTATACCCTTTCTTATTTAACAATTAAATTCATAGAAGATGAAGATTGACAATAAGAGTTTCTTTTTGGATTTTCATCTTGTTTCATACTGAAAAACAGAATGTCGAAAGAAAAAATAACATACTTTGAAACATTGTTGGTATCATATTGATTTTTTATCTTCTAGAAAATAATTTTATGTAGGCGATTACGACTTCATTTATTTAATTACATAAGGTACCCATCATGGAAAACGTGTTTCATTTATAACCAAATATAGAAGCAACAAAGTTAGGAAGTATGAATTCATAGGTGATTACATATGATCACAATCAGCTATATTAGTAAAACTACATTAAATAAAAGAGCGAGATCGGAAATTATATTTCTTATTTGTGAAAAAGAAAAAGGTTTGTGTTACCAATGAGGAACAATGGTATCTTGAAGTTATTATGAAGTTTTGATGATGTTAAAAACTGAAGAATTGAAGATTTTTGGTGCATCTATGTTTAAAGCATTTTTGTAGAAATAAATTGTATATGATTAATTTTGATGATGTAAAAATACTTAAAATTTTTCTTTCTTAGGGATTCATTACGTAGATAATCAATTATCTCATATGATAATTGATTATCACGAGCCAATTTAGAAAAAAGTTACTCATGCAAATAATCAATTATTACACAGAATAATCGATTATCACTGTTTGATTTAATATTGTTCACGACACGTAAAATAATCTATTATCTCTTAGTATAATCGATTATCACTTTTTTTGAAAATCTCATAATGGTAGCAAATAATCAATTATCACTTATGATAATCGATTATCGCTGACAGTTAGGAGTAGACCTTTCAGTTTCTAAGCCCTGGGCTCCATATACACCTTCTTAAACCTCTAAGAGGTTAACTAAGTCATTTGAGAATATAGAAAAGTTTGATGAAGTTCTCAAGTGTTAGTATGCTCAAATCAAGTCTTGTGAATAGGAGAAGCTTGCGCTTAGTGGGTCTAAGGTTGAAGCGGTTCTCTTCAAATTGGTTGAGCATGTTCTTCCATCGTGGGTTGAAACAAGGTTTTCTCTGTCCTTTAATATTTGTATAATCTTATTATAATCTAAAACGATACTATTTTAGTGAAAAAGTTAATCACCGTTTATAGTGATTAACGACTAGACGTAAAATCTTATGATTCGAACGTTTATGTTTTTGCTACCCAAAGTGGTGTGTTGGAGAGGAGTCAAGAGGTGGAGTGACCTTGGTGTTGCAACAAGAGGAGAGGAGTTAGTTGCATGTAATATGTTTGGTTGTTGCATGTAAGGGGTACAACTATGAAATATGTTTTGCATGGAGTTGGGGGTTAGTTTCAATCTCTAACATGCATGGTTACTTGATGGGNTTTTTTTTTTTTTGCAAAGGATGTCACTGTTTTGTTGGCAAAAGAGAGTATTGGGTTTTGTCTCTTCCTAACTTTATTACTTTGTTTTTGTATGGTATGTTTTTGGGGGCATGTGACTCCTTGGAATGTAAGTTAAAGTTAGAGGGAAAACAGTACTTTTGTTCCTACACAAAAAACTGAGTGTTTGTGAGTGGTGAAAAAGGTTTATGTTTTTGCTACCCAAAGTGGTGTGTTGGAGAGGAGCCAAGAGGTGGAGTGACCTTGGTGTTGCAACAAGAGGAGAGGAGTTAGTTGCATGTAATATGTTTGGTTGTTGCATGTAAGGGGTACAACTATGAAATATGTTTTGCATGGAGTTGGGGGTTAGTTTCAATCTCTAACATGCATGGTTACTTGATGGGGTTTGCATGGGTATATGCTTTGTTGTTGTATGTGAAGGGAGAACCATAGATATATCTATATTTTGTAAAGGGTGGGATTTTTCATAGTTGTGTGTGTATGTATATATTGTGTTTCTTTGTTATATTTGAAAGTCTTCTTATTATGTTTTTATGGTTTGCATGTGGCATACATTGCTATACTCTAAATCAAGAGTGTGTGGAGTGTGAAGGGGTGAATTTTCTCTTCCTTTTAATAAAAGAGATGAGTGAATAAGTGAGAGTGTTAAAAGTGTGGTTAGAGTTGTGAGTTGTTGAGTTTTGGGGTTGTATGAAGAAGTAAAATAAAAGAGTAGAAAGAAATGTGTGCCTTACTAGAATTTAGAGAGAAATGAAGGAATGGAGTTAAATGTTGGGGTAGTTGAAAAATAAAATAAGAAGAGAGGATGAAGTGTCTCTTATGTGTGAAGAAAAATGAAAATGAAAGTAAAAGAGAAGAGAATAGGAAGAGGCGGGTGTGTTTTACGTGAAAGGGAGGGAGTAAAAGGTGACAAAGTTGAGTAATTGGTATACCACGTAGAGCCTACCATAAGAGTGAGAAAAAAATTAAATAAAAACTTGAAAAAAATTGTATTTAGTAAAAAGGGGAGGGGTGTATCAGAAATTTTGTTTTAGCGGATAGGGGTGTGAACTTAGTAATTACATGGGGTGCATCAAAATTGTTTTAATGGACATGGACAATGGTGTGAACTTGGTAATTTCAGGGGGTGCTTATGTAAAACAAATTGTCTTAGTCAATTATTGAGATCTTTGGGTTACGTTGTTTGGTCTACTTTTTTGTTTGGTTTTAATATATGTTGTTGAGAATATGCATGAGTTTTTGTTGTGCACGTAAATTATGTTATTTGCTTGTAATTTTGTTCAATGTGTGAGCATATTGTTATGATATAAGTTTATGTCTTGTGTGAGACAGAGATTCGAGTGTCACCTTTTTTTCTGTGCAAGGAAATAAAAAGGGTGGATGTCTCGTCCAACGACTTTGGCTTGTGTTGAGTATAGTGTTCTAATGCATATGGTATATGTGTTTTGATTCGTTAGTCCTTGAGAAGTTAAGGAGATATATTTGAAGTTGTGATGAAATATGACTCAATTCACCTTTTATTGAGGACAGGTTGTGATGGCGAATTACAAGGGAACAACATTAATTTTGTGAAAGGTTGTGATGATATCTTTTGTGTCAATATATGATGGTATGGTTTGTTAGTCTATTTTAATATGTTTATACTGTGTTATATTATATGATATTTCTGATTATTCATCTTTGTATGTTATAGTTGTGATTTCACTTGCAATTATTATACGAGAGTAAATAGTTTTGAAGTAACTGGACAAGAGAGATCAGATATAATATTTGTTGGGATTTTATATTATTTTTATTTAAGTGTACTTAATTTAATGATTGTAAAAGATAATTAACATTTGTTTTGCGTAATGTACGAACATAGGTTTTGTTTCTGCATTGTTAAAAGTAAATAAATAAATAAATTTAACAATAATGTTATATAACTTGTACTTTATTATTATACACTTCACATTCCGTTTGGGTGTTACAATATCAAATTAATATCTAAATAATTTATTTTAATTTTAAATAAATGAAATGAAAATTTATTAGAATAACTTATACCATTTCATGTAATGAAAAAATATAACAGAAAAATTTAATTAAATTTAATTAAATTTAATAGAACACACAAATTTAATAAAATTTCTTTTTAATTTAATTTAATTTCTTTTTAATAAAAATTTGTAGTAAAAATTTACTTAAATTTATTTTTAATTAAATTTTAGTAAAATTTTTATTAAATTTATTTTTAATTTCAAAGATTTAATAGAACACACAAATTTAATAAAATTTAATATTTAATTTGATTAAATTTGTTTTTAATTTTTAAATTTAAATGTAAAATTAAAATTTATCTGTTTAAATTTATTTTTAATCTCTAAATTTAAACGTAAAATTAAAATTTATTTTTTCCTAAATTTTGATATAATTTAAATATAGTCATGTACGTTAATTTTATTTTAACTATGAAATTATCTTTCACTCAAATACTAACATGTCATATAATAATAGAAGTTAATGTCATTGAATATATTTATTTATTTTTAAATTTAAATATTAAATTAAATTAAAATTTTAAAAAAATATAAGTTTTAATTTTGTATGTTAATATTTGAAAATTAAAAATAAATTTAACTTTATTTAATTTTAATTTTATTTTTCGTTTTTTTAAAATTCAAAGTAAATATGTATTACTTTTAAACATTCTTAACTTAATAAATTTGTATTTCTTAACTGCAGTTACTAACATAGTCAATAATATTAAAAGAGACTAATAAAGAATTCTTACTTTCATTCTATGACTCAAACAACATCAAAATCAAATATATTAAAGAATTCAATTACTTCAACATTCATTCAATTGCACCATGTGAAGAATAAAAGTGTAAATTTCTGACACCTTCTATTCAATTTATGACAATGAATCAAAATTTCATTTTATCATTTCACAACGGCCATTTCTTTTAGCACCTCTATAATTCCAACCTGTAACTCCATACATATTTTATATTTTAGATTTTAGAATTTATAATATAACTTTTTATATTTTTAATTATATAATCTAAAATATAAATATATTTTGTATTGTACGAATTAAAATATAATTTTTCTATTTTAAAATACAAAAAATATTTTAAAGCATATATTTAAAATAAAAAATACAAAATATATTTTAAATTGTGTATTTTTATATATAAAAATTAAATTCCAGAAAATATTTATGAAAACGCAAGACGTCGTAGGAAGAAGATGCATTTCCCTATCAATTTTCTTGTAATTTAAGCATGTCTTGGACGAATTTTTTTTTTTTGTATGTTTTTATAATCGAGAAATAATAAGCATTTGAAATGTATAAAAATAAAATATTGTAAGGTATGAGATTTTTAAGAAATTGGTTATCAAAAGTTCTGTAAATCCTAAATCTGAATTACTATTTAATATTCTTTTATTAGCTCTTTGTCCCATGAAAATCTATAAATAATAACTTTCTTATATTGCAAGATATGAACATTCAAATAAAATAGACTCGTTACTAAATTACAACTGCAAGAATAGAAACAAAAATGAATAAAATACAAAGAATGAGAAAAATTGGACCTTCTATTCTTTTTCCAAACGAGAACTATATAAATAGAAAAACACTAAAAACCTAATCATAGAAGACTGACTCTTCAGTCATCTAACTTCTTTGCTGTGTAGCAGAGGTTGATACAAGAACAACCAAAGCCAAAATTACACTAAAAATTCCTCTTTCTTCATGTGACCTCGAACAGAACAGAAGGGGTGAAAGAAAACTGCTGTATAACAGAGTCAGTCACACAGCCATAGTATGTACAAGAGTTTGATCTTCTGAAGAGTTTCTGTATTTTTTTTTTCTCTTTTTTGTTTTAGTAAAGTCATCAGGAACCAAAGACACCTTAAGATAATACCCACAAGAGGAATGTTGACCAAGCAGTGAGTGCTATGGCTGCAGCACTATATGTCCATAGCAGTATAACTGAACACTCTTCATTTCCTACATCAAACAGCTGAGCCATGGTACCTGCGTAATGAATGCATTGAATTTTGTCAACGAGAATTCTATAGCATATGAAAGATCAAGAAAAGATACTTCAATTAAAAGCATGTGTACGTGGAATGCAATTTTTGACTTACTGATATTCATAGCCGGTGGCATGGCATACTGCATCACCAGCACATACTGAAACAAAGGATCAACCGGGAGTAATCCAAAATTTGCTGCTGCTTTTACAATGAACAGTCCAATCAAAGGTAGCAGGAAAAGTCGGCCTATGATGATGCTGATGAGGGTCAATGGTTTGATAGCAGACGATTTCAAGCCTACTGTAATTTCAAGACAAAGTTTAGATAAGTCAGTTTTTGGACCATGCAATTGGTTAAAGAGTATGCTATATGATATATATGGTGGCTAGTTTTTTTATACCTTGAGTGAGGTTACCACCAAGCAAAAGGGTGATGCAAGGAATGGTTCCATTCCTGAAAAACAATGAGTTCAATCAGATAACAGCGTGGTTGGAAAAGAACTTGCACTGCAGAACAATTGGTTTTGTGAGCAAAGTCACATACCCTAGTAATTGGAGAGAGTCTTGGATGACACGCAGTGGAGCATTGTCTCCGATTATTAGGTTCCTTAGCCATGCAACCCCACCAAAGAGAAAACCAAGAAACTGATAGTGCAAATAAGGAAGTAGGTGAATGTCATATTACATTGAAGTAGTACAAACTACAGACCAAAATCCAGAAAAGAATCTAACAAAGTAAACAGAAAGGAAAGCAGAAGAAAAAGGAAACTCACTGTTGCAATTGCTGGTGGTGACATGAGTTCTTCCAGAAACTGACTAATAACTTCCACTATTCTATGCCATAGCGATTCCGTCTTCTCTGATCCACTGGACTGATCTTGGTCTACAGGCTGAGAATTCACATCCCTTTTATTAACTAGTTGTATTCGAGGATGTTTGATATAGATATGTGATATATGCATACTTTGAGCAGGTATCAAAAAAGAATAAATAGGATTATACTAAATGAACTGTGTGGATAATCACTTTCATATAGTTAGATAGATTCTCACATTCTTTATTAGACTGATGCCGAATAAATGTAAACTAGTTTTCATTTTCAAAATCTTCCCTCCTACTGAAACAAGTATAGCTATGAGAGTGCATGAGTTGTTGGTCTTACAATTTGGTTTTCAGTGTCACCATAATAGGTAGATGTGGGCACTTCTATGGTGTTTTGGATGTCATTATCCTTGAGAAGGAGAGTTTCTGCATTAGCATCAAACTCTTTGTTGGGAACCTTCATGATCTCAGCAGCCTCGAGTGCCTTAAATTTCAATGATCTGCTTTTTATAGTCTGTAAAGTGTAGGTCCAGATGAAGATGCCACCAAGCTACGTACAATTAACAAAACAAGACGAGATAATAAGATACACAACACAATATGCTATTAGCAAAATTTTAACTGTAAGAAAGTAGTGGCCTCACCGCCATAGAGAAAGATGCATAAGAGAGTCCATTACTGCGGCAAACATCACGCTCACCAAATGGTCCTCCCTTCTCGTCACAGATAGCAGGGATAATAACAAGAGGAAGGTTCCCCAAGTTTCCTGATAAAACAAGGATTCATGAAACAAGAACATATTAGATGAAGTTTATCTCATAAAATTATTGAGACACGGCTTAGAAGGAATGAAAAAAGAAGTATTGGGGATGGTGACATATTTTACAGTGTATCAAGACATGCATCCATGTCTTAATACATAGTCAATTTTTCCACCTTCAGCTTCTCTATTCCTTCAAATTTTACTCTTTCTGAACATACTATGCCATGACATACCTGATGAACACGCAGCAATAATAAGACCTTCCACTTTCAGATTAGGCTTCAGTAATTTCACAAGTATCCATCCGATGATTCCTCCAATTAAGAAGGTAAGTCCAACGTTAACTGGCATAAACCACCTGCATGGAAAGTTAGGCCGAAAACAACCAATTAATACAAAAAGAATATGTTACTTATACTCTACTCTCAATCATCAAACATGCACAGAAAAATACAACAGTACTATCAGTGACAAAAATATGTTAAAACATCAAAGTCTGCGTTATAATTAATGAAGCTTATGTCTCTGTAGTCTGCAGTGCCAGTGAGTGAGATTTCTCATCTTCTCTGCCCCTAACAGAGGTTATTATATTCTGACAGAAATAAACAATGCAAACATGGTCATATGATCCGTTTCCTTTTTTGAAAATGAGTGAAGATTTTAGTACATTGCTGGCGGAGGCACGAAAAGTGAACGTCACTTTTATAAAAATAAGTATATAGATGGATAAAACTAGTAATATATAACACAGGATTTGACGGATTGGCTCATCTCTTTTGTACGAAAATTGGTTCATAAAGAAACTTTGACTGAATATAGTTCTTACATGTTTGACAAAAACTGTTTTCATTCTGATCAGCGTTTCTCTAAAACTGACTCAAAATCATAAGAAGTATTTGAGAGTTGAAACTAAATCTCTCGGTTCGTACCATGATATCATATCTTCAAGTGAAACACTCATGGCGAAACTGGAAAATATAAGTGAAGGAGTGAATATAAGGAAGACAATCTGCAAAACAGGGAAAGAAAAACACGACAAAAAAAAGGTTACTATGTTTGATAAGAACCATGCAGAATCTGTGTTGCATTTGTTGTCTGATAATGGAGGAACATTTAACAGGCGTATATTAACACAATAATGATTACATATATGTTTTACATGACTGCATATATCTTACCTTGTTCAAAGCTTTCCGGATATCAGGTGAAAGAAGATTATCGAAATACCGAGTTGCCATCAAAGCTCCCAATGCACTGACAAGAAGGACTTGAATAATTGGCATAGAAGCCACCTCCAACAGTTCCACAAAACCCATCTTCCTTTGATGTTCCTGTGCTGATCTACTTCTTTTCTTTGCTTAATATTACTACTGGACTCTTTTTTCCAGCTTTATTTCCCTCTATATAAACAGGAAAGAACAGCCATAAATCATTCGAATCCAGAACAGAAAAAAAAAAGTGATAAAGTGTCACAGTAACCAATGATTGACTAGTGTTTTCAAGTGGGGTCACAGCCAGTTGGTGAGTATCATATTCAATATATTTACCGGACTAACTAGTGAGTTTAGTTTCGAAAACTGCAACTGGCCGTGGTTTATCACCAAATCAGTTTTTAAACGTGTTAACAAATTTTAATTAAAAAACCAGTGAATTATTTCAAATCAGTTCCTAGAGACAAAGCCAAAGATCACGACAGAATCCTCAAATTCGTCTGAGTAGATGGTGCAGTGTTACGTTAGGCGTTGATTCCTGAGACAACAGGGTTTCTGAAATCAAATGAAACCTTTTATGCGGACGTATAACGTTGTGACATTCGTCTCCAACTTACGAGTACTTCTTAAACATGCACAGAAAGAAGCTGTAAAGTGTACTTTATAAAGTGACATTAACAAACATACAAGTCCCACATTTCTAATTTTACACCGCGATTTCATAGTAATTTATTTATAACAACATAATGTACCATAATGTCCAACTTCCTAATTTCGGTAATTGCTTTATTAAATTTTTAAAATCTCTCCATGTGAATAACGACAAGAAAGAATATAATGGTACAGTTTGAATATAGTTCACTTTTTAGAATTTTTGGCACGTTAATCAATTCCCAGATCTACCTTCCCCAAGTGATGGTTTTGTTCCGTGTTTGGCCTTCACGTTCAAACTTCAGCCCACCACTGTTTATTGCAGTGTTATCTCAAAAGGTGAATGATTGATGGCAACACAACAAAATACCAGACCCATAATCTATTTTGAAAATAATTTAGTTTTTCAATTTATTTATAGATGGGATCACGTATCTTTTCTGATTTCGGTTTATTTGTTTTTAGCTGGGTACCATAAGTGTACATCTCATACTTGTACTGTTTGAATAAAAGAAAAAATATGAAGACAAACCCAACAAAAAAGCCAAAAAAGAAAAGGTTGATATCCCTCCATCCAAAAAAGGCAAGATGTGTTTTTTTAATTAGTAATTATGAATATAAATTGTACCAAAGAAAAAGTTCACGCTATGAATCAATTATATATTAGGGTTTCATATGATTATATATTCAATAAATCTTCTACAAGACAAGTAGCTTTTATATGAACATGAATGCATGGAAGGGTGAGATTTTTAATGTTTTTTAATTAGTTTTCTGAATAAGAGTAACAAATATTCCTTTTTGGTGAAAAAACTAGATCTGATATATGATGGCACTTAATCAAATATACAAAAATGCCAGAGTCATTAGATGTGGTGTCAAAAGAAAATAAGTAGTGCAAAATACATCTAAAAAAAACTTATAAAACTGTTTCAGAAAAGTTGTTTTCTTAGATACCACGTGTCTGCAAAGTTGTAGTTGTAAAATTGAAATATAACTCTATCAGAATATTAAAGAAAGTTCTGCCATATTCTATCATCAGAGACTTGGTATGTGTACTTACACTTTTGCTGCCGTATATATCGAAATTTCAATACCTACTTTCTTTATACAGCGTGGTCTTCAAGTATACTTCTGCTGTTATTTTGATAAAGATAAAAAATAATTATGGGTTTTAAAAATGGGGGAGTCTCATTATTTCTGTCTATTGTATTCATTTCTATTGGACAACTTAAAACTTTTTATTCATAGACATATACGTGAAAAAAATTAGGTATATTTTTTGGTATTTCCAATATTGGTGTTGTTTTTTCTTAATTATAAGTTAGAGTTTTAATGATATCAGTGGCAATCTGATGAAAAACTGCATAATAATTCACATCCTAATAACAAATACGAACAACACTAAAGCACATAAGAAGCAGTATATCTACAGTATCTAGAAGGTTATAATTCTACATACGTACATTTATACGTATACAACACACAAGCGTCGGAAACATGCATACAGGTAAAAATGCAACACACGAGCGTCCCCAAATTAAAAAGATCTCGGCAGGGAAAAAGTTTCCGACGAAACGGATTATCTTTTACGTATATGATGATTACAGAAAGCATCCGAAAAAGAAAGGCTTTGAAAGTGAGAAGGGAAAAGAAATAAATTAAGATTTCTAAACAGTGATTAATGTATATGAAACGAAAACATGCTTTGTGAATGGAAAATTACAGTTGAAATGAAAGAAGAAATGGAAACCTGGAGTCACAGAAATTTTCTGCGAAAGAACTGCTACGAAGAAGTTAGTTGGAAGGAGAGAGAGAAGATAGTTGCCTCAGAAGAATGAGTTTCGTGTATATATATATATATATATATATATATAGTGAGAGAGAGAGAGGAAGAGAGATTGTTCTTTTCTCTCCTCCAAGTTTGACCAAAGTTGAGGAGTCAATAAGCAAATAGGCGCAAGTTCAATGTTATTATATGAATTATTTTGGAGACATGGTAATGTACACCTACGCTTAAGCCATTTTCTTTACTTATTTATTTTTTTCTATAAAAAAGAAACTACACTTTTATTAATATATTAATTATTTTAAAATTTACCAAATACATTAGAACTCAGATTATATATATGGTAACGTTTTCTTTCCTTTCATTTTATGCTACCTTCCAACTAATAATTATTATTTGTGTTAATTAAGATTACTGTATCTAATCTAATCATATCAACCTCCAGATAAGACCTACCGAAATAGGACCTCTAGCTATATTACTGTTTTTCTACTTTTTGCTAATTGATTTTAATTGTGTTGTTAGGTGACTTCTATTATCTGTAATCATAGAATTCCAGGTACCGATGACAATGGATCGCATCGGTTTTCAATGATGTTTATCCAATATTTCATCTCTGACAAATTTTTTTATTAATTGTTTATTTTGTTATTTATAATATATATCTGTCTAAAAAATATTTGTTAATATTTTAAAATCTGCTTATATATGTAAATACTCCAGATATTAAAAAAAAAGTTTTTATAAAAATTTTTAAAATAAAATTACAAAATAAAAAATATAAATTAAATTAAGTATAAACTAAAATTTAATTTAATAAAATGTAAATTAATTTTTTAATTTTAATTAAATTTAATTTAATAGAATATAAATTAAACTTTAATTTAATTTTTTAAATGATAATATCTGTAAATATATATAATATAATACTCACACCAATCCCTTTATAAATAAATATTAAAATATCAATTATTTATAAATAATAAATACTTATATATATTAATTATTCAGAGCAAATTTTATATACAGATATTTTTATCATCTAATCTAATTCTATGCTGTCGAATGAAATTACCTAAAAGTGTCTGAAAAATGTGTATATTTTTCCTATTGTTTTATAATAATTTTTCACTAAAAGGAAAGAAAAACATTTATTTATTTTTATAGATTCATTTCACTTATGATTGCTTTTGTTGAAGACCGAGTCCTTATTAGCTTCCGTATTCAACGTAACTTGCTATCTAATAAATACAACTTTTAACAATTAGAAAAGAATAGCTTATAATGAGAAACACAACATTCAGCTGGTATTATATTATTGAGCAACCAAACTTTGCTACGTTATAATCAAGCTCATCACATTGATTTTCAAGAGAAAACTTTGTTAGAGCATAAATAATTTTTTTTTTATATAACAACTCTCACAATAAAATAAAATAAGTATTTTAGATTAAAATATAAATTAAAAAACAAAAATTATTATATATAATAATTTTGAATTATAATTTTAATTTTAGAATTAATTAATTCTGTTTTTTTTCTTATATAAAAGTTTCGAGAGAAAAGTTATGCAAACAAATTTATTTAGTTTTATCTTTTTTTTAATTATCTAACTATTTTTACTATATTAATTCAAAATGGTCAATTATTACTCCTGGGTTCTTTTTAAATATATATAAATCAATATTAATTATGACATGGTGCATGCATATCTATTATCATAACTTGTCATGATCGATATGTCAACATAAATTTCATCTGTCATCGTCATATAACTTAGGAAATAACGATAGTGCCAGAACAGATTTAATATTATTCTATAAACAAACTTAAGAGTTACTTGAACAATTTAAGGTTAAATAAGTCTTTTGCTCTTTAAAATTTTCTCGTATTAAAATTCACATATTTAAAATATTTTAGCATTCAACATTTAATAAATACGTTTAATTTGTTCCATACAATAATTTCGTTATTTTTTGCATTAGCATATAAGGATATATATATATATATATATATATATGTTAGCATAAACATTGTCAAAATTAACATTTTAACAGTATTCAAAATTTTAAGTAATAAAGTAAATATTAGAATAAACATATTTATCAGATGTTGGATATAAGAGATATTTTTTTTAAGATATCAATACAAATCAATTTTGAAGTTGCCAACAACTTATTTAACTTCAAAAAAATATTATTATTTATTGATGAACAAAAGATATAAGCAAGAAGATTTCACTTATTAGAATAGCCGAAAATATTAAACAGTTGGTAAAAATATTATTTGTCTATAATAATAGTGAAATACATACTGATATTACATTTTACATGATATGTAAATGTATATACTAATTTATATTAAAAATTATTTAATCAATACAATAAATGTAAATTGTTAATATTTTTATCAATATTTTCAATTTTGTATAGACCAAATTATGCCAAATAAAGGACCATTCAAAGCAAAGTTGTTTATTTTGAATAAATTTATGAATTAGTTTTACAAAGAAGCATGAAGTAATGCTTAAAAGAGAGCCAATAGTTTTTTTTTTAGCTTGTTAGGAATCCATAAAATATAAAATTGTTTTACATGTTAAAATGATATTTCCATGCAAAATAAACTATATATATAAATATAATAATAATTTTTACTTTTGTTAAGTGTATAAATATGTAGTTATAATTGAATACTGAATATTTTACATCAATTAAAAATATATAAAATAATAATATACGAGTATATGCAAATTTTACTGATGTGAATTCTAGTAAAACTTAAATTGTATTTTCTTTATTATTAATTTTTGTTGTTGTATAAGTTACTATGAGTATTACAAAATTAATTTGTAAAATGATATTGCATTCCCTTGTTTATATTGTATTGTAAAATTGTTTTATTCATAGTCGAAGTGATAATTCAACACATCTATTCATACTGAGATGTATACTTCTTAAATATAAAACTAGATATTGAATGATCCTTTATAAGAAGTGGCATCCAATAAATAATAAAATCTCTCAATAGTTGATAATATAATAAATTGAACAAATATTGTAAATAAGTTTTGAATAATTTTAATATCATCTTAAAAATAAATTTTAAATTTAATTTAATTTTATAAAATTGACTTGTAAAGTTTGTAACTATTAATATAGAATAAACTCGTGTTACCTTCAGTTAAAATATATTTTTAAATATGATTAATTAAATATAATGATTGTTTCCATGAAAACTTATGAAACGTATTTTACATATAGACATGAAAGAAGAAAATTTGGAATGAACAGGAAGACTTGCATGTGTTTAGGCTAAATTTTGTTGCTATTGGGATGTTTCAGTGTATCTGTCGCTATCTTCCTTCCAATAAGTGAGGTTGCTGTTTTGAGATTGGTTTTCCTAATTGTTTTCTCAGTAAATATCGATGGCCGTTGACATCAGTTCATCAACTTATTCTCTTTCAATCTTATGCTGACGTCATTTTTTTTTTCTAATACACTACTTTTCTGAATTCTTTAAGTGTTTCATCAACATCATACTTCTTTTTTCTAAAATTTTCTTCTTTAAAATATCTACAAATTTTGTATTTTACTGGATCTCACTTCTATGCAGCTATAATAATCAAATAAGAAAAAGTAAGATTCACCAATGGTTCTTTTTTAGTATTTTCCTTTAAAAAAGAAATTTAATTACACATTTTAATCTCAAATTTTACAAATAAATAACTCTATTTCTTTCAAATCAATTACTTTACATTTTTTTGACGTATTAAATACGTTTTTAAACGTATTAAACAATACTGACATGAAACATATGTAAAACAAAATTAAAGTAATTAGATTAAAGTTTAATATTTTTAAAGTTTAAAAACTAAAATGTATTAAAGTTTTAAAAATGAATAAATTCAAGTTTGGCATCTTAAAAAATTAAAAGCATATTTAAACGTAAAAAATTATATAATTATATAACACATTATATATATATATATATATATATAAATTACTATTGGGCCGCGACTTTTCTCGAGACTTCCGTCCTGGGCCCCACCGGAGGGGCGTCGGCGCGAACCAAAGTCGTCAAGCCCCATACCAGTTGACAGTAACCATTTTAGCACCTGTTTTGATCAGTTTGATGACTTAACAAGTCACAAATGACTTACCTAAGTATCCAACAGGCCCAAATGTACTCAAAATTCGTACTTCCCAAAATCAACTACCTCACTTCCTCTCAAGTGACCCAAAAACTCTACCAGCTTGTTCAAAACAGTGTATACTTTCTTTACTTTCCACTTGATCACCCCTCCAACAGAATACATACATCAACATACCAATCTCAA